GTTTTGATGACGAAAATAAGCTTTTGAGGACTGTGTTTGTTGGCAATTTGCCATTGAAGATGAAGAAAAAGGCACTACTCAAGGAGTTTGCAAAGTTTGGCGAAGTCGAGTCTGTGAGGATTCGGTCTGTTCCAATAATTGATGTAAGTCTTTCTTGCTTGTCCATGTCTTATTGTTGGTAATCTTTTGCATCTTCTTGTAAATAGACATGAACAGTAGTCAACTTTCTCTTGCAGAGCAAAGTACCGAGGAAGGGTGCTGTAATCAAGAAGCAAATAAATGAAAATGCGGACAGGTTTGATACTGAACGGAACTTCTTTTCCTTTTGGTTGATTTATCTGACTCCGGTGGTTTATCTGGTTGAGGTCTTGAGGATATTGGTTTATCTGGTTGAGGTCTTGAGGATATTGGTTTATCTGCTTGAGGTCTTGAGGATATTATAATTGACGTTTCGCTATGAAAGTGTTCTCTAAATAGATCACTCTACCCATGCTTGCACATAATTCACCATGAATTGTTCACTTATGTATCAGCTGTTGGGACTTTTTATTAAGCTGCCAAGATTGGGCATTCGTAGAAGAATGTATCTGACTGGTTTGTAGAAGTACGTTCACACACACGCGCCTGTGTGCATATATTTCTCTTAAGAGAAACATTGGGAGTTTAATAATAAGAAACCGGTTCTGAGTCATCTTTTTCTTATTGAAAAGATGCTTCAAACCAGTTGAATTAGATGATGGATACCTCCAGTCAGTGTCTGCCGTTGCATATACTTGTGTGGGTGGGTTTTTTTCTTTTTTAATTATCTCTTTTGCGTTTTTGTGGACCAGAATCCTTGCTTAACAATTCTGTGATCTCTTAGTTCGTGAACAACATATGTTGCTCATATAGAAGTGTTCTTCACTTCTTTCATTCAAATATCTTCCTCACAATTTGTTGACTGTGCAGTGTTCATGCTTATCTTGTTTTTAAAACGGAGGACTGTGCTCAAGCATCATTGGCCCATAATATGGCTGTTGTAGGTTTCCTCTTTCCCTGATTCATCTTTTTTGCTTACATTGAAGATAAGTATATGACTTGAGTTCTGTGCATGAGTGCAGGTTGGGGGAAATCATATTCGTGTTGACAGGGCATGCCCACCACG